CACATACACACACACGCCAGCTCTGCCACCACCACACAGCCCAAAATAGTCCACACTTCGGTCCTGGCTTCTGGGCTCCTGGAGAAACCAGCTTAGCACAGCCTCCTGACCTCAGTCCACATGACCGCTGGTCGGCTCGTTCCCCAGAGTAACAAAGCACCCCCAGGACCCAGCAGCAGTGACACCTGCTCCAATAGACCACTCCACCCCCAACAGCTCAGGTGTCGCGGTGGCCCTGTCTGATATGTCCTGACAGAACAAGCTCCAATTAACAGAGGCCATTTCCAGTGACCCAGCTTGAGATGGGGCCCAAATCTCCAGGGCTGTCCTGAACCTCCTCTCCCCAAGTCCCTCCACATCTTAAATCATTGATGTGACATCTCTAGGTGAATGGCTCCCACAGTATTTCACAGAATGTTTGGAAAACATCCAGAACAGAAAATGTTCTTTTAAAAAAAAATGTTGGAACACACAAAACTGGGTTTTATATCTGTGCACTACTGAAATTTGAATATTCTCATTCCAATCAAAAACACTCTCTACCCTTCCCTTTAAACACCAAAAAGTTAACCTCCCCTAGGGCAGGAGAATGGCAAACATGATTGAACCCAATTCATATCCGGAGAAACTGAGAACAAAAGAAGGAAAAGCAATAGAATTGCCTTGCTCTGACCAGTGCTGTAAATGAAGTCATGGCTTGAGGGAGATTTGGAGAAGAAGGAAACCAAAACTGTCAGACAGAGGCAATTTAAGGAAGCAGCATCACCCCATATGAGCCGGCTGGGCAGAGACCACTGTGGCTGACGAGACATTCCTGGGGATGGCGGGAGAGGGAGAGGCAGCTGGGGTCACTTGCCTTCCATTCATTATCTGGCATGAGGCTCGTCAGTGGTAAATTCTCTTCTCTCTCACAAAAGCAAGACATAAAAGAAAGCAAAAGGGAGGAAGCATCCACGCAAGCTGCCAGTCTATTAGGGACGTGGGTAATTTCTAAGGGGGCAAAGGCCGTATGGGCTCCCCTGCAGCTTCACACTGAGTGTAACTCCATCATCACTCTCCCCCATCTCTCATCCACGTTCAGGGAGAAGGAAAGAAATTAAAAGCCCACACGCAACTCCCACTCTCACTGGGCCATTTGGAGCCTGGAAAGATGGGGTGAGGGGAGCCCCAGGAGAAGGGAGACCTTGAGAGATCACCATCCCCACCACCTGCTGGGTGCCTGGAGCTCTGCTGGAGAGAAGACATCAGCAAACTCAACAAGTATTTAGTTGGGCCTGCCCACAAGTCCAGGTACAAGATGCTAAGTGAGATAGCCAGCTCCATGCTGCCTTTGCACCTGCAGGAGTAAATTCCTTGCTGTCCAGCTAGGTTTTCTGGCAGCCCCTCAGTCTACCCTGCCACCCTAGGATGGAAGTTCACAAAGCTGCTGCTGGCCCATTTGAGTGACAGCCATTCATTCATTTAGCCAGTAAACGTGTAAGGAATGCCCACCCCATGCATGCCATGCCATGTGACAGGCAGCAAAGGATTTCAGTGAAGAGCTGGGCGCTGGCATTAGGAGGCCAGGTTTAAGTCCCAGCTCCTCTTTTACTGACCTGCTGACTTCTCTGAGTTTCACTTTCCTCATCTGTAAAATGGGGATAATAGGACCCTTCTCATAAGATGACTGAGAACAGAGGAGATAACCCCACTGAGAGTGATCAATAAATACTAGCTGTTGTTACTATGACGTGGGATCCCACCTTCCACTTGCTGCTACCACCAGGGGCAGAAAAGACAGCTGGGGTCACTCCCAGACAGCATTGTTTGTTTGTTCCACTGGCCTCTCTGTCCGCAAGAATGAGCAGCAGCAGAATATATGAAAAAATAAAGTGTCTCAATGCCATTGGCTCAGGTTGCATCCCCACCACTAGCCAGCCGTCTAGCCAAGAGGGTCAGTATGCAAATGACTCAGCGCAAACCATCCGCACCAGCAGGAACCTGACTCACAGCACAGATCTTCCCAGTGCGGGTCAAGGGCACTGGGTCACAAAGGAGGAAAAATCTTTAGCAGGTTAGAACTCTGGAATATTCAGCAGGACATGTGGAAAGCTGGTGTACTGGTTTCCTATTGCTGCTGTAACAGATGACCGCAAACTCAGCGCCTTAAAACAATACTAATTAATAACTGACAGTTCTGGAGGTCAGAAGCCCAAAATGAGCCCCATAGGGTTAAAATCGAGGCGTCAGCGAGGCTGCGTTCCCTCTGCAGGCTCTAGGGGAAGATCCATCTCCTTGCCTTCCCACTTTCTGGAGGCTGTCCACATTGCTTGGTTTGTGGCTCCTTCCTCTATTGCATCAGGACGATTTCTGCTTCCATTGTCACATCACCATCTCTAACTCTGACCCTCCTGCCTCTCTCTATAAGGACCCCACCCACATATATCCAGGATAATTTCCCCACCTCAAAGCCCTTAATTAAATCACATCTGCCAAATCCCTTTCCTCATATTCACAAATTCCAGGGATGAGGGTGTGGACATCTTTGAGGGGCCTCTACTGTCTCTGCCAAAGGTAGATTCTGTTACAAAGGGCACTGGAGAACTGTTACAGCAATGGTGAGAGATTGTAAGAGGTAAGGTTCTACCTTATGCTTGAGAATATTGAAGGTGTACATCTGAAATTTACATAATAGTGCACATTAACTATACCTCAACTAAAAAGTAAAGAAATAAAATAAAATAATAAATAAAAAGAATATTGAAGATGGTTTATTTTGAGGCAAAAATCTAGTTTAAGTGTAAGGTGTACAGTGCCTAATAGCATGGACTTTGGGCACCAGCTCTGGCTCCACCATTCAGTGTCTATATAAGCTTCTATTTCCTCAACTAAAAGTACGTACTAACTTTCCACTTAGGTCATAAAGAATAAAGAATAAAATGCACCCTTCTCTCTAAACACCAGGCTCACAACTAATGAGCTGCCCACTAGTCCCATTAGCCAGTCACTTTGCTTTTATCAGGCTCAGTCACTAAATAAGCCAGGTTGACATGAACTACTTGACTGTCCGCAAATACCAGCAGGCCCCGTCAGGCCCCAGGAAGCAGCGGGGCCACTCGGCCCAACGCAGACTGACCCTGTGAGGTCAGAGGTGCCCCAGCAGAGACTCCCAAAGACCTAGATTTATGCTCAGAATTTCCCAGCCGGGACATAGTCCAGAAACAGGGATCTCAGCTTATTTTCTGCAAAAAGAAGACAAGTGTGAGGCCCAAGCACTCTTCTCTTCCACAAACTCGTGCTCCATCCCTCCACGTGTCTTCCTCTTACAAATAATTGCATGTGATTTCTAATTGTACTGTGACTGATTTGGGCTGCAGGTTACAGTCAACATTCTCATCAGGAATCTTTCTACCTTCCCATTGTGTAGATGGGCAAACTGAAGCAGAGACCAAAGGAACAAGCACTTTATCTTTACAACATCATCATGAGTCATTTGATTTCATCATGAAAGCATCTCAGGTGTTTTAAAAAGTTTTAGAATTTGAATCTCAGATCTCCTGCTAATTAGCTATGTGACTTGAGGAAAATTGTGTAACTTGTCTGAGCACCCCTTTCTTCATCTGTAAAGGAGACAGGAAAATTTGCCTCCTAGGACTGTTGTGTAGTTAAATTTCACAAAAAAATAAACCTTGGTATGTTGGATTTATGGGGCCCTTACTATCTCTCAGACACAATCTAGGCAATGTATGCATATTAATTCATTTAATCCTTACAACAGTTCTAAGAGGTAGGTTTTGCTTATTACTTTCTTTTTCCTAGAAAATAGACCTCTTTTGGGCAGGGATATTTTTTGCTTCTGCAGCTCCTAACTCAAATACCCTGTGAGTGGTAAATGCAATCCACAAAAAGTATTTTTGCTGATAAAAACACCGAAGAGGTTAGTTAAGTCTGGAAACATCCCCAGAAGGTCTTATAAACGTGGAATCTGAATGGTAGGTAGAATTAGAGGAAAATGAAAAAGGAGAGAGGGCAGGTCTTCCCGACAGGGCAAGGTGAAGTGTGGAGAAGTGACACGAGAAGCAAGGCCCGTAGGAAATAGGACTAAGCACTGCACATGGATAGGAGAATAAGCAAGACCGCCCTCCTGCAGCTGAGTAGTCCTCTAGGATACACTTGCTTTGGCCAGTAGAATCCAGCAGAAGTGAGGTTGTGCCATTTCCAAGCCCAGGCCTCAAGAGGCCTTCCACTCTGCTCTCTGGAACCCTGCCTAGTTGCTTGGCATGTGACCAAGTGTGGGCTAGCCTGCTGGAGGGTGAAGATAGACATGCAGCAGAGAGAAGCCATTCTGGCAGAGGGTATTCTAGACCAGTCAGCCCACAACTCCCCAGCAGATGACCACAGACACATAAGTGAGCCCAGCCAAGATCAGAAGAACCACCCAGCTGAGCCCAGATCAAACTGCCAAGCCACAGAATAGTAAGAAAAATAAATGGTTGCTGTTGGAAGATTTGGGGCACATTGGTGAGCAGCAAAACTAATAAGAACCAGTGTCTTTTTCATCTTTATGTCCACAATAACCAATATAAGCCCAGCATGTAATAGTTACACAGTAACTGTTTCACAAATAAAGTATTGAATCAATAAATCAATAAAACTGTGAATGAATGAATGGCATGCTGGAAAGTTGAAACTATGTCGGATCACAAAATTCTATTGTGGTACTTTGGTTTGAGGAATGTTTTCAGATTGGGTTACTAGACACCTAATAAATAGACTCATTTTTTCTATTGTTCTCCGTCAACATTCTTTTTCGCCAACTTTAGTCAAGCTAAAAAGAAAGTTTCACATGAACTTACGACGTAAGGTACGGTGATTTAAAAACTAGGCTAGCTGTTTAGAGATCTGGGTTGTAGACTCAACTCTTCCAATAACTGCAAGCCCTTCCCAACCCTCTTAATTATCATTTCTACCTCTGTAAAACAGATATTAAGAAGAAAGTGACTGTTCCCCGTTAGCCTCACTGGGTTGTTGCAGCAGGACACAGGGTGTGAAGTCTCCTGGGTGCTCTTCGCCATCACTAATCCTACTTCTTAATAAGCAGAGTTTCACTTCTTGATAGTTTCAAGTGCTTTTTTAAATAGGTCCTTTTAGGAGCTCCATTTACCCTTCTTCTATCTTCCTTTTAATAGTCACATTTTCAACAACCAAAAAAAAAAAAACAGACAAAACAAACAAACAAACAAAAGCAACCAAAGTAGGAAACAGTTAAAACTATCCTTGAAGGCAAGGAGAAAACTGTTGCTCAATCCAAAGAGAGGTGGTATTTCTGGCACTGAGGATTGCACGTGACTAAGATCAGACCTGACACCTGCCTGATTTGCTCTCTGGGACCAAAGTCCCAGTGGAGAACTCTGGGTTCCCACTAGGCCACACCTCAGTGCAGCTGAGGATACAGCCTGGCCCCTCTCCCCTTCCAGCAGCTTCTGCCCAGGGTGGAAAGTCAGAGGCTCCAAATTCCAAGTATGGCTCTTCCAACGGCCTCAGTTCCTGCCTTGCGCCAAGTCATGGGATCAGTGTAGCCGAGTTCTGAGCCCAAGTCAGGCACTGCTGAAAGGAGCTTGGCCATCCGTCCTACAATGGCAGGACCAGGTTGGAAGTTCAAAGAGTGCTCCGAGCACTTTGGGACCCTCTTGGGTTACTGCCCTCTCCCCAGACTCCAAAACCTTTTAAAGTTCTGGGGTAAGAATCAGGTTTCCTGAGACCCGAGCATCCTGGGAGCGTGTAGGAGGCAGAGGAAGACAGCCTCCACCCACTGAGAGCTGTGATGTCCTCATCCTGTGCCTGACGAGAGCTGGACAAAGGTCAAGGGTGGCCGCTGCTCAAGGGTAGGGCTGAAAGGGCGGGCAGCTCTGGTCCCACTCAGGGTCCTGGGTCCTGCTCCCAGGAAGAGCCCAGTTCATGCAACAACCCACCCTCCCTGTGATGAACAGGGGTGGTCCGCCTGCCAAGCTGCCATTCCTTCCAGTAACACCTCTGTTTTCTTCCAGGGAACCAGCTCTCCCCCACCATCAGTTGAGTAAAATCAAACCCACCTACCTCTCAGCTTTAGAGACAGGCTTGTGACCCAGCCCTGGTCAATGAGAAAAGCACCTCCCCAGGCCTTAGTGACTGCTCCAAAGGTGAATGAGTATGTGGTCCAGGGTAGACAAACTCCGGGTCAGTCTTGGAATTTCTGTTGGAGAGAGGCACTTTCTTTCTCTTGCTATGGAATAGCTAATAAAAATATGTATCTGAAGCTGCTGGGAGGCCCCCGTGAAGCAGGCCTCTCTGCAAAGGAGGCCAACGTAGAGAAAAGTGGAATTGAGACAGAAAGGGGAGGTAGAGGGAAACCAGATGAACTTGTTGAGCCCCAAGACCCACCCCAGTGAAGCAGATGTTCTGAACTTTGAGTTACTTGAGCCTGAACATTCCTCTCTGTGTTTAAGCAGTTTGAGTTTCTTGCCATCTGCAACATTAAAAAGCCCTGACTGATGCACACTCCAGAGTTTGGATTTTACCAACAGACTCTACCCAAGGCTGAAGAAGAGACCAGGGGCCCCATTCAAACACCTCTAGGCTGCTCCTACCCAAATGCTTTTGAGATAAAGATAGTTCACTGTGACCATCAGGTGCCAACATCAAACCTGAGAGGAAGCAGAGTCAGGGAATATTGTATATGGAAGCTCCAAAAACTGCACTCTCCAGCTCATTCCAATCCCCAACACTCCGTGCTGTCTTTGCCAAGCCCATTTTCCTAATTTACTTCACCTGCCTAGTCCTTTTAAGTACATGAATTTACCATCCCTTACTAGATGGCTGGGTGGATGGATGCGTGGATGGATGATGGATAGATCAGTTAAAACCAACAGACGGATGTCAGTCACTAGAGTTTTACATTTCACAGATGAATATCATAACGAAAAAAAATCATTTATTAATCTAGATGATTTAAAGACTATACCTCTGAATAATAATAATAATAATGTGGCTAACAGGTTTTGTAGAGGTTTGTGTAAATATGTCATGCGGAACTCCTGGCTATATAGGCATACCTCAGAGATATTGTGAGTTTGGTCTCAAAGTACTGTAATAAAGCAAACATCACAATTAAACAAAAATAGTGGATGAATTAATGGATGCATAAGGGGATGGGAAAACAGGCAAGTGGTTACATATTTGCAAACTGAGCCTACACACAAATAGGCACACCATGAAGGCTAATACCCTCAGGAAACTGCGGTCAGGGACCACTTGATAATACAGGAAAGGAAATAACCACAGGCTTACTTCCATGTGGCTTTGGTCTTTGGAATACTGGGGGACAACTCTCTGAGTAGCACTCACCCTACAGTTATTCTCCCCCTCCCAAGCCAGGGTGGTTAACATCATCCCACCAATACTGCATCACAAGAAGAAACCATTCCTGGCATTCACCGGTGGCTACATCACATGAAAAACTGGCCTGAGGCAGTAGCCTCCTCAATCCTTAGCATCTGCTCGGATCTGGGCAGCAGCCACAGAGACAGAAAGAGCTAGTAGGTATGCAGGCGCTGTGCTTTGGTGTCTGGACCTGAAGTCACTGAAGGCAGATGTCCGCAAATGTATCCATAAGGCTTGGCATTGAAACAAGGATATGAGGAGTCCAGGGCAGCCATGGAGGGACACTAAGTGGCTCAAAGAATCACGGGAAAAACAGAAAGATAGCAGCTATAGAAATGAGGCTCAGAGCCAAGACAAGGCCTGTTCCTCTGCCACCTGGCTGAAGGCATCACCGTGACCTTGGGGATTGGCACAGACCACTCTGTGAACTGTTCACTGTGGGCGTGGGCGCACAGCTCAGGCAACCCCTTGGGAAGCTCTACACCATTCCCTCCCCTGTAAATCACACTCCCCCTTTCACTGTCTTTGTAAAGTCGTCACAGAGTTCTGAGCAAGAGAATCTTTCCAGGGATTACTGACAAGTGATCCCATAACCAGGTGGGTTCAACTGTCTCTTGGCTCGGCATAGGGATGTCCAGTGGAGACAGATCAGGAAAATAGCACCTGGACTCAGTGCACCCAGACAAGGCTGGTCATGCTAGGTAAGCCACCCCAAAGGTGAGGCACAAACACAAAATGTGAGAGCTCTGCACCTCATCTCTCCTTACAGCCAGAGAATGAATGCTTCCAGCAGTAGGAGAAAACAGAGCTGCACACCCAACTACTCCAGGGACAGAAAGAAGGGCCGCTGCTGAAGGGGAAGAAGTACTAGCTTCCTCGAGAATAACCCTTGGTGGTGGACACCATCCCTGCCAGGCGTCCACCTTCAAGAAGACTCAGTCCCAGAGAGGAGGGATCACAGGCATCGGATGAGCCATGGAAAATAAATTCTCGCTGAGGAGCAAACCAATCAACGGCAGTAGGGGGGGTACCAGCCAGCAAACATTTCTTTGCCTGCGGCTAACGGGATCGGCTGGTGTGCAGGACTGTCACTGGCCTTGGGACACTACAAAACTGACAAGGCACATGGTCTCTGCCCTCAGCATGCTTGTATTTGAGAAAGGCGACAAGACTGGTGAGCATACAGTCACGGTAAACCACGTACAACCTGGGAGTCAGGACCTGGATCTCATCCTGCTCTGCTGCTTTAGGCGTGAAGTTCATCACTAAGTCTTCTGGGCTTCGGTGTCCCCATCTGTAAAGTGAGGCCCCTCACTGCTGGTCAGTTCTGAGGGCTCCTGGTTCTCAGGGTGGCTGATCTCCAAGGACATGCCCGGTGTTCATACACTATGCATCTGAGAGTCATGTAGAAATCAATGTTCAGACTTAACTCCTGGGAGCGGGCGCAAAGGTGCTGAGCCCCTGACCTCTCATGTCAGCACACACCTCAAGGCACTTGGCCCCCCCCCCCCTGCAAGCAGCCTGAGACACCTGATTGCCTCTGAGTACATTGACTTTCAGCTCTGGGGGTTTGTTTTAACTCACCAGAAGGAAAGAATTTGGATTCTTTTTTAAATATACACAAAGGGAATACATTTGTTTCTTTTACATAATGTACTTTCAGATACAACTGGGTGAAAAGCAAGGCTAAAGATCATTCTTTTCTCTTGGCTCGTGTGAGTGCAATTCCTCCACGGTGATTTCTCCAAAAACCACAAACGGCAGACATTCTCAATTTCTCGTCTTCTGATCTGTGTCTTTGCTACCCTTCTCATGAGGAATTGTCACATCATCCTTCAGGACCTCAGTGCTCCACTAACCACATCCTGCCACCATCACCCCTGTGGGGATACAGGGTCCCTGCCCACTGCCCATCTTTCCATCCACCCTGCCCTGTAAGGTCACCAGGTAAAATCAGGACTCCCAGTTAAAGCTGAGTGTTTAATAAAGAACAAACATTTGTTGGGGAGGGTATAGCTCAGTGGTAGAGCACATGCTTAGCATGCATGAGGTCCTGGGTTAAATCCCCAGTACCTCCACCAAAAATAAATAAATAAATAAGCCTACTTACATCCTCCCTGGAAAAAAATTTCATAAATAAATAAATAAAAATGCGTATGGAAATTCAAATGACCTAAAATAGCCAAAACAATTTTTTAATATTATAAATAAATAAATAAACCCAATTACCTCCTCTCCCCAAAAAAAGAACATAAATTTTTAGTATAACGTTCAAGGTGACAAAACTGAGACAGGTTCATTCCAAAGATAGAGAAGCTCTTCTCTCCTTCTAAGCCTGTTGACAGAACCTCAGCCCAGTGGCCCTTCTGTCCCCTGGCTTCGCCCCTTTCAGGGTGAACCATGAAGGCCATGGCCTGTAGGCTCACGGTAACATAGGTAGTCAACCCATTCAGATGCCAATGGTGCTGAGTCAAAAACACTGCTTATGGCTGGAGTCCAAAACAGTCCTACACGTAACTACCGGCCCTGTGCAGAAGAGTCTGGTGACAGGGGGAGGAGGGAGAGAGGGAGAAATGTAAGACAGGTATTACCATTAAAATCTCCAAGGGAGATCTCAGTCTAAGAGATCTCACTCTCATTTATTTAAAAAAAAAAAAAAAAGTCTTGGCTGGTGATGGCTGGCACATGGGCCGTGAAGATCTGGTCCTAATTTTCAGCTTCAAGAGACAAGGCCAGCATGTCACTCAGTCCTGGATTCCATAGGCTCAAGTGGGCCCCACAATACCTGCAGATGTTGGACCCGCCTACCTGGGCACCTGGAGTGGAAGCCCCAGAGGGTAGGATTGGTGCCCTTTTTTTCTCATCATGACACAGCCATCGTCTAGTCCACGGCAAGCACTCATTGAGCTTACGCTGGATGAGTGGATGAACGTCTGAGTTAGCCAATGTGTCCCGGAAAGTATCATGGGCTTTG